ATACTTAACCGAATTCGAGACCTAACTTGTCTCGACTCATTATTATTTTTCTTTTCTCATTCAAACTATAAATGACCAAGTTTACATCCATTTAGCTAAATAAAATGGAATGTTACTTGAACTTCAACTTTTATCTTAAATAACTTATTTCACTTCAATTAGACATTAATGTCTAATTAATCCTTATAACTTTTCGATCTTTTACTACTTACTGAGTTACTGACTATGTATCTGAACGGGATGATACACTCGATACTATGGCCCTCATTTATACACTTATACTTAGAAAAAATCTAAGTATTTAATACTAAGGCTCGACTATAACTTGATCAAAGCTCGGATCGTGACCGAACATGCTTGGGTTCAGTTCACTACTTATCTTGAACGATTAATCAAAATATACTCGATTTCGATTATTCGTCATCTTATAATAATCAATCTCATCTTATAAATCCATTTATTAAAAATAAACAGACTGAAATTAATTAATTACTGAACTGACTCGATTACTGAATAGAATTTAACTGAGAATTCATTCGACTTAGAGTCGAACTTTGAACTGAATAACTGGGCTCGGAACTAGGAGCGAACATTATTGAAAAAAGTAATTAGTTCAAACTTAGAACTAAAATAATTACTTTTATTAATTACTGAATGGGATATTACAATTTACCCCCCTTAAAACTATTTCCGTCCTTGGAAATACTGAAACTGGGATACATACTAAGTACATATCAGAACTCAAGATCTAGAAAACGAGCCCTAATATCAGCTTCTCGCTCCCAAGTGACATCTGATTCTCCGTGACGATTCCATTTAATACGAATGAGGGGAATATCTCGATTCCTAAGCCAATGAACCTTTCGGTCCAAAATTGATACCGGCTGTTTCTTGTAAGTTTAATCCGGTTGAATATGAAACTCATTATGCTGAAGCACATACTCTGGATCGCTCACATACTCTCGTAACATTGATACTTGAAACACATTATGCACACTGGACACATCTATTGTCCGAAATCAAGCTTTTAAACTTCCTGATCATCTTTCTCGAGTGTGTACCCATCAGTAGCATTGATGGTAATGCCAAGCACATTTGGCTCGACCTGCTATGACTCGAGACATGACAATGCGGTACGTTGCATACGATTTACCCACTACCCGGGGCCCTTCGGGTGTGGAACACCAGCATGCGGTGTACCTGCGGCGTCAATCTCGCCTGCAGACTAACACGGTCGCATCTTCATTCTATGCTAGTAACTTCGCTGTACTCAACTTGTTTCTATAATCCCAAAATTTCACACTTGAAGGACCTGGCATAAAGTTTCTCCCTCTCGTTCTAGAATTTCTAATGGACTTATAACTAGGATGTAACTTTCATTTCTTCCCGACACTTCACATCTGTCGAACTTTCAGGAATACTTTTTCTCCTACCTCAAACTGCATTTCTCGTCTATGCTTATCTGCTGAAGACTTTTGCCAACTCCGCGCAGTCTTAAGCTTTTCTCATTCTTGAGAAGGACTGATTATCAACTGATTAATCTCAAAATCTCCTACTATAAAGTCAATAGGCTAATCAAATGCATTGACTAAAGTCTGAATAACTAAATCGCATCCACTGCTCTAGTGCAACTTAATTTGTTAGTTTGATTTGTTCTGTCTGATTATATCATTGATATAACCCATAATCACCGTCTCTCTTACCTCCAATTATGCAACTGCCACTAGCACAATCGGTAAACATCGCCATAATTCAGGTGTAATCATTATTGTCGACATCTCACATCTACCTTTGGCTGCATTAATTACACTCTTAGTACTGCTTCTGACACTCAGTCTGCAACAACAGACAACTAACCTAGTAACAAAACACAACTAACCTAGCAGCATCAGACAACTAACCTAGCAGCAAGAAAGAACTAACCTAACAGCAAGAAAGAACTAACCAGAGGATGATCGACAGGATCTCTGGTTGGTCGCATAGATATCTTTCCTTCGGTGGTCGGCTAGCGCTGATCAAGAGCACTCTTAGCTCTCTTCCGATTCACTTGCCTATGGTCCTCGACCCCCCTAGGTCTACTCTTGATGAGATTGACCAGATTATGGCTCGATATTTTTGGGGTTATGAGGACGGGTCTGGGAGGGGGAGACGTACTCACTGGGTGAGTTGGGACTCTATCTGCCGCCCCCTCCCCGAGGGTGGCCTTGGCATCCGCCGTCTCAGGGACATGGGTACAGCTTTCTCATACAAGCTGTGGTGGCGCTTCAGGGAAGGAAAGTCGCTATGGGTCCAGTACCTTCGCGGCAAGTACTACCCTAGACGTGCCAACCACCCTTGTTGGGTCACGGCTGTTGATCATGATAGCAGACAGTGGCGGCGCCTCACTAGGGTCGGGAGGCGAGCCCAGGATCACATCTTTAGGGTTTTGGGCGGGGGCGATGTCAGTGTTTGGGATGAGTGGTGGGTTGGTGATAGGCCGTTGTCTAGGGATAGGCAGGTGTCGCATTCCCCCTACCTGCTCGTGAGCGACCTATGGACGGACGGGTCGTGGGATAGGGGGAAGCTTGATAGGGAGTTGGGGGCTGGTGCGGGTTTTAGCGAGCAGTTATTAGATCAGATCCAGCAGATCCCTATCTCGGGGGACGGTTCAGATAGCATGAGGTGGAGACTTACATCATCAGGTGTGTTTTCTACTACCTCGGCTTGGGAGCAGATAAGGCTGAGGGATCGGCCTAATCTCCTCTTCGGGGCTATCTGGAGTGACCTTTTCACGCCTACTATTTCGGTGTTCCTTTGGCGCCTCCTCTTGCGCCGGATACCCGTCGATACTGTGCTACACGCGAGAGGGATCTCCTTCCCCTCTCGGTGTGTGTGTTGTTCTGAGACTGGACGCCATGAGACTGAGACCTTTACCCACCTTTTTCTAGAGAGTGAGATTGTGAGGAGAGTGTGGGAGCATTTTGCCACTTGGACTCATATATCCCTACCCACCACATACAGTTTTTTTGAGCTCCTGAGTTTTTTCTCACAGAGCACACACCTTAGACACGTGGGCTTCCTCATTCCTTGTCTGATCCTTTGGTTCACCTGGACAGAAAGGAATAGTGCGAAGCATAGGGATATTACTTTTATGTTTTCTCACATTGTTTTGCAGGTAGAGAGATACATCTCACTCCTCACCGCATTGGGCAGGCTCACGGCCCGAGAATGGACAGGCTGCACGCCACCGCATCGCTACATGGTGGCCCCACCACCGCCTGTTCGGCCCCCACGGGCCAGAGCTGTTGTTTGGCTTCGACTTGACTCTCCGTGGGTCAAGCTGAACACTGATGGCTGCTTTGATCGCCACACTGGACTTGCCGGATGAGGAGGCTTGATTCGGGACCATAGCGGCGCCCTCATCACCGCCTTCCACGCGTCCATTCAGGCCTCCTCGAGCTACGATGCAGAGATTCAGGCACTATAGATTGGCCTTCAGATTGCTGTCCACCTCTCTAGTCATATATGGATCGAGCTGGATGCTGCGGCTGTCGCCACCCTCCTGACTTCGAGCCATCAGGGATCGTGGCAGATTCAGCACCCGCTTCTGCGCATTAGAGATCTACTTCAGTCAGTCCACCACAGGATCACGCACATTTTCCGTGAGGGGAACAGACCGGCCGATTACCTGGCCAGCCTTGGCGCCACCATACCAGGCACACATACATTCCAGACCGACACTGCTCCACTCCGCCTTCGCACTCTTGTACGGATGGACCAGCTTAGATATCCAACTTTCCGCTTTCGGTAGCTTAGGATTTCTGTTTTCTTTAGTTTAAAATAAAAAATAACCTAGCAACTACAGACAATTAACCAAGCAACATCAGAAAAATAACCTAGCAACTATAGAGAACTAACCTAGCAACTATAGAGAACTAACCTAGCAACTACTAACCTAGCAACTACAGAGAACTAACCTAGCAACTACAGAGAACTAACCTAGTTGGAAGGTTAGTTGTCAACGGTCAACGCCGGAGTCAACGCCAGAAGTCAACGAATTTCGACGGAAGTCAACGCCGGAGTCAACGGGTCAAAATAATATTTAAATAATTAAAATAATAAAAAGAAACGAGTAAATCTTGGCCACACATGATGTGTACCAAATCTTGTGGCTAAAAATGAGTCTCACGTCCTCGCTTTAAATAAGTGGATGCATTGGAACCAATCCCTATATATATATATATATGCATGCTAACTAAACTGTTCATATTTAATTTTTTTTAATACTATAACGAAAAATCTCTATAGTATATGATATTTAGAAATTAGAGATGATACTTTCCTTGGTGCATTATATATTTTACATTTATAAAATAAAATATATTTTATTTAAAAAAATCTGAAAATAATTTTTTCCCTTACATTTACAACTACATTTAAAATAACCAAATGGTAACCTAATGTCGTTTGTCGAATAAGTTATTTATTTAAAATCCACAAATTTGCATAGATCAACTTTTGGTATATGTAAAAACTTAAAGATATAATTAAATATAAAAAAATTAATGAATTAAAGTAAATTATGAAATGGAGGTTTAAAAACTAACGGTTTTGCTATGGAGCCATCGGATGACTCGGCTTATGGAGCCATCCATTGTTATCCACAAATGGTGTATTGACACGTGTCCTGCAATAAATACACATTGGACATGTGTCAATACATAAAGTTATGGATGACTCCATAAGGGAGTCATCCGATGGCTCAATGAATTTACTGTAAAGCGGTTTTTAACTAAATCACTCCTTACGTTTAGAAACTAATTTATGGAATTCTCTCTTTGAGAGCGGCCGATCCTCTCGTTGAGAGCTTCAATCCATTTCATCATCATTGAATCATTCCCAGATTTTGTAGTTTGAGATTCTGTGTTACTCCTCTGCAACTTTCTTCCCCTAATTGCCATTTCTTTAGTTCGGTATTTAAATTATTTGGGGTCTAGGGTTTTCTTATTTTCTCGCCATCAATGGGGGAACCAGGTGAGGTGGGCAAGGATGATTATCTCGCCCAAAAACTTAACAGTATATCCCTCTCAGATAAAGAAACCACCTTTGTTGAGATCGAACAAGAGGATATTCAGATTAACAAATAGTGTTAGTTCTAACATTATAACTTTAATACGAAAAATTACAATAATAACCTTAAAACTTATCATTAGTAAAAGCATTCTTGACAATGCAAAAGTTTCAAGAAACTACTCTTCCTTTTAATAGAGTTATAGATAGATAGATTATCACTTTTGTGCCGTACAAACTGGAGCTGCTCGACAATGACAAGAACGTGTGCTGTTCTGCAAGAGGCGACGGCCTCTAGAGCACGGAAACGAATGGTTTTTTATGCTGAAATTCGTTTCCAACTCAAATAAATAAAAAAAAAATATAAACAATTACTAATTAATATAGAATTTCGACTACAAGTAGAAATTCTTAATAAACTGGCAAACATACTAGCAGTCAAAAATTACGTCTGTTATGTACCAAATTCAGCACCAATTTTCTTCATTGCAAAGAAATAGCAGTTCAAAGTGCGCATGACTCATAAGTCATAAGTGTTTACAAATAATCAAAACTTTAGTCAATATTAATGAGTTGATTTTTTGTCATTGCAAGAATTAGCGGTTTAAAGTAAGCATGACTCATAATAAGTGTACAAATAGTCAAAATTTTGGTCAATAATAATGAGTTGATTGCATGATTATAAGGGCATAAATTGAATAATGAAGTCAAAAAAGGAATTGTTAATTGCCAAGCATTTGATCTGAGAGAGAGAGAGAGATACATAGTAATAATTCATTGTAACCTAGCATTTCCTTATATATGGCGATACGATTAGTTATATATACATAACATAACATTCGTGATTAAGTAAAATAAAATTATTAAGATGAATTTTGTTGGAGGTTTATTAGCAGTGGTGATGGTGGTAATGGGTATGTGCGCCAGTTGAATTTTCCGGCGACCTTGAGCTAATTCCGGCGGCCTGCAATTTCCGGCGAGTTCGGTTCTGTGAGCAGCCACGACCGCCGACGAGCCACCTTGCAGCAACTTCCGGCGACTTTTGTTCGTCCTTCGAGCAGCCCGCGAGCCCGACGACGTGACCACTTCCGAGCCTTCTTCTTCGGCGAGTTTCTTCCCCGCGAGCAGCGAGCCTCCCTCCGCCTGCGAGCTCTTCTCCGGCAACCGCTGCGTAGCACCTCCAACGAGCCCTTCAGCCGCTGCCCCTTCTCTTTTCCGGCGAGACGAGTTTACCGTCGAGCTTTCGTGTTCGTGACGTTTCGAGTTTTCCCGAGAACGGTACCTCGTCGTTTGTCCGTCTCGTTTAATTCACATATGCTCGTTGAGTTGTTCGTATTCATGTTGTGCTCGTATTATATATATATGATGTGAATTTAATTGTTGAATATGTGCTAATATATGAATTGTGGTGATAATTGTATTCGTATGCTCGGGATCTCTTCGATTTTCTCGAAAATCGAACGAGACCTCGAAAGTCGTGTAAGTCAGTGGATAATGGAACAATGTCGAGCCCTTGGTCTTATGAAAAGGCCTCGGACGATAATTTGTGTGTTGTGATTTAATTTTCGAGTTGTCGAGCCTTATTGTCGCTGTTTTGATGTTCGAATTTTTAAAAATAGCTCGCTGCTCAAAACGACGTGAAATTTTGTGAGATGTGTTATCTGTTCGTTTCCTGCCTTGTGTTAAATTTTCAGAATTTTTGGAGTTGAATTGATATGGGTAATATTTTATTTATCGATTCTGCAGAAAGGATGTTTTAATTTTTAAAAATCGGATATTGCATAGAAAATTCTGAAATTTTACTGAGAGTCATATTTTAGGTGTTTGATCATGTTTGTAAAATATGAAAAGTTTCAGAGTCCGTTTTGTTTCAGTTTGGATTTAAATTCAATAAACTGCTGTTTCTTATTTGAATTTTTATAAATAGGAACAGTTATTGTTTAAGGCTGAAAATTTTATAAGTGAACTTTGGCATACTGAATGTTGCTGTGTAAAATTTTCAGGTTCAAATTCATTCACTAAGTCTGAGTATGAATTAATGTGCCCTTTTTGCTGAATTACTGTTCGAATTTTATAAAATAGGATATTTCGAGTTTAAAGCTGAAAATTTGTGATTTTACATGTTTCTGGGGGATAAAATTTTGTATAAATTTTCAGAGCTTAATTCGTAGGATATCTTGATCAACTATTTTTCACGCGATTAAATGATTTCAATTTTCGAGTATAATTGTTATGTGGAAGTTGAATTGACTTGCTTGCTGGTTTTTGCTGTGAATTTGACTTGGTCAAACCTTAGATGGATTTTTGTGAACTCCCTTAAGTGGTTTGGTTGTGTTTAGTGCCGAGTCTTAGTGTTCCACATCCACAGGACTTCACGAACTACTTAGTCGGATCGAGTTCGACTAGGTCTGTCTTGTGATTTCCGATTTAAGTCGAGATAGGTTCTGATTGTAGGATCTTGACATCATGTAGGTGTCTAGAGGTGTTGATCTTGCCTTATTTCGAGATTTGTGACTGTGAACCGTGCTGCTATCAGGTGGGTACATTTATGATGTATTCCATAATTATCGCACTTCCTTATTTCGTGTAATACTTCTTTTGAAAATTTTTGTATGCATGAGAACTCTAGTTTAAGTGTCCCGAACGCTAGTGCCTTGATGAATGCGAAAACAGTAGGAGGTCGCCTGCCCGTTGTATCCGGGAGGGACGCCACATGCCGTTGTATCCGGAAGGGGAAAAACATCTCTGCTGTCTCCTGGAAAGGATCCTGCGAACCGTTGTACCCGGGGGTGGGAATGTTTCCAGTTACAGCCATGCCGTTGTATCCGGAAGGTTGTTGTATGTACATAGGAGGTTTGAGATAGGGCTGGGTAGGGGGATTAGGCTTTGAATTCTGTGCATACCGATATTGAAACCGCTTTTACTGATACTGCTTTTTAAAATAATTATACGAGATAACCGTGCGATAATGGTGAGCTAGTTGGTTGCTCACCCCCATTATTTTCTTGTTGTTTCTCTCTTCCTTGGTTTTTAGGTTAAGACGAGCTGGAGGCGGTGGCGTAGGACAAGCGAGATGGTGGTCATATGTGTCGATAAATCTATGCTTCCGCTTAAACTCGAACTTTATTTGTTTGCTATTATTGCCTTGGATTATTTACTGCTTTCACTTTTCGAACTATGTTGAATTAGGTTGAGCTTTGAATAATGTTGGATCTTTTGAGATGGTTTTTAAGACTTACGTTTATTTGGAACTTGTCTTATTGATAGTTCGTGCATGTGTGTTATTTAATGATGTTAGTAAGTAGCGCCCGTTTCTCGATAAAGGTTTTAACTTGGTTTTTAAAAAAAAAAAAAACTCTGATTTTATTAATAAATTCGATAAATTCTTTAAAATAAAACGGAGCGTTACAATGTGGGAATGTAGTTCACCATTTCCCATACCGCCGCAGCAGGTGGCGGACCATGTCAGCGGGTTGCCCGGACAACCATCTGTCAGTTTCAATCATTATGCCGGCTATGTCACTGTTAACCAACATAATGGCAGAGCCCTCTTTTATTGGTTTTTTGAAGCCATCAACAAACCACAAAACAAACCTCTCGTCCTTTGGCTCAACGGAGGTAATTAAATAATTAAACAAGTGGTTATTTCCACAATTTTTATTTTATTTTATTTTATCTTATTTTTTGAGTTAATAATCACCATTATACACTAATTGATACAAATATTTAAATCAAGTAGTGTACCCTTTGCAGTTAATGTTTCACGAGTCATATAAGAAATGAAATTCTTTCTCAACCATACCATGATTAAACATTCAGTAATTCACTTTATTTAAATTAAGATGATTTAATAGAAAATAAATAAATGAAACATTATAGTTACCATTGATCATATTGAGAATTATATATATATATATATATATATGTTTTTATTCAGGTCCTGGATGCTCATCAATAGGCTTTGGGCAATCACTAGAGCTGGGACCTTTCTTTCCTCAGAAAGGGACGAAGCCAGAGCTCAAGTTCAACAACCATACATGGAACAAAGGTACTGATCACAAGTCACAACACAATTATATAATATATTTAATCCCTATTCCGATCTATAATGACTTGTTTATTTGTCCTTTGCATGATAATTATTTGACTGCAGCGGCCAATTTACTGTTTTTGGAATCTCCCGTTGGCGTTGGATTCTCATATACAAACACAACTAGTGATCTCAGTCACCTTGGTGACAACATGACAGGTAATTACCATTATCCTATTTACTCTTTATACTCACAGCATACTTAACACTAAATTCATTCATTATTTACTGACATAACATATATATTCCTTTGTGTTATTAAATTAGCTTCCGATTCCTACAACTTTTTGGTGAGTTGGTTCCAAAGGTTCCCACAATATAAATCTCACGACTTCTACATTGCTGGGGAAAGTTACGGAGGTACGTAACTAACTAAAGTTCTATTAATGTACTATATATCTACATGATCACAAATAATTACACATGTTTTTATTTTTTATTGATTTCTTTTAATATATTGTTCATCGAATATCTTAGGCCATTATGTCCCTCAGCTTGCGAACCTTGTTGTTGAGAAAAACAAAATTGCACTTAAAGACCACTTGATTAACATCAAAGGAATTTTGGTATGGATTTTCTCAGTTACTAGTGCTTTTAGTTATTTTACTATAGATATCTGTAGGGTCAATAAGTATAATAAGATGGATTAATTAATGTGTAAATTTGGGCAGATAGGGAATGCAGAGCTGGATGATGAAACAGACCAAAAAGGAATGATAGAGTATGCGTGGAACCATGCGGTTATATCGGATGCAGTGTATGATGAGATTAAAAAAGAATGTGATTTCAGTAGCTTAAACTTGACCAAGGAATGCAATCATGGATTGGATAAGTACTTTGATGTGTATGACATCATAGATATGTACAGTTTGTATGCCCCTGTTTGTGTTGATGATAACATTGGTACCACCATTTCCAAACCCTCTGGTGTTTCCAGATTCTTAACTAAAAATATTGTGAGTTGGTGATGGTTTATTGTTATTTGATCATTAATTCTTGTCCAATATTATTACCATTTAACTTTTTTTTTGTGTATTTATGATAATTGAATAATTGGCTAGTATGGAAGAAGGAGGCCGTTATCTGGGTACGACCCTTGTGCCTTTTTGTATACTGATGTTTATTTTAACCGAGCGGATGTCCAACGTGCTCTTCATGCTAATGTCACTGGACTTCGTTATCCCTGGACAAGTTGCAGGTATGAGGTAACTAATAATAATTTTATTCGTACGAATTTGAGTAAGGTTAATTAATTAGTTAGTGTTGGTCCATGATATTATATATATCAGCGATGCCATTGAGAAGTGGAAAGACGCTCCTTTCTCCATACTCCCTATTCTGAGACAACTTATTGCTGCGGGGCTACGCATTTGGGTTTACAGGTAGTTAGAAAATAATCAATATATGTATATATATAGTTTAAAAATTAGTTGTTAATTGTATTGTGATGTTTGAAAGTAATTAATAAAAATGAGATGAATGAATGTATAGCGGAGATACAGATGGTAGAGTGCCAGTTACAGCGACGAGGTACAGTTTAAGAAAGTTGGGTTTGCGGATGAAACATGATTGGACTGCATGGTATACTAACAACCAACAGGTATATATACATTACTCATATAGAAAATTAATTAATTAATTACATGCTTTAGAAATTAATTAGCATAAACTTGATATGATGATATTATTACTTATGCAGGTGGGTGGATGGACAGTTGAGTATGATGGTTTAACGTTTGTGAGTGTAAGGGGAGCTGGGCATCAAGTTCCTACTTTCAAGCCAAGAGAAGCCCTTCAGCTCTTCCAACATTTTCTCGAAAACCAAACCCTTCCCTCTACACCCTTTTGAGTACCATATCATCTATCTATCTATCTCCATAAAGAAAGAAAGAAAGAAAGAAGGTTGTAAGAACCAACTTTGATCCATTATTGTTTCTCAAACATTTATAAAATTATTATGTGCTTTTTTATTATCCAGTCACGATAAATTTGGCTGTTGCAAGTTTGATTTTGTTGATCTTATGATCTATGTAATGAAAATTGCAAGTACAAATGTGTTGACTCATTATTTCGATCCATATATCATTTTGTCACTAGCTCTATAGTCCCATTTTTACCAAACATGAATGACCACAACTTCTAGTTCTGTGGGTTGGGAAACCTTCAATCCTTTTAATTAGAAGTGACTCGTATCAAATATGATTTCATTATTAAGCTATTGTTTTGAACCAATTACTATATTTTTTTATCATTATTACTTTTTTTTAAAATATATATAGGGGACGGATCCAATGAGACCAAAAAAAAAAAAAACGAAGCAACAAAAGACAACTAACCTAGCAGCATCAAACAACTAACCTAGCAGCAATAAAATACAACTAACCTAGCAGCATCAGAAAACTAACCTAGCAGCAAGAAAGAAATAACCTGGCAACAAAATACAACTAACCTAGCCACGACCCATTCTCCCGCAGCGCCACCGCGCGACCCAGCAGGGACCCTCCACCAGCCGGAGGGATCCGAAGGGAAAGGGCAAAAGCCCTCTCCGCGTGCCCGAGACCCCGAAGGGGTCTAAGGATAAGGGCAAGGCTGTCGATACTGCCCAAACATAGTAGGGCCCAATCCCAAGTCCACGGGCTTTCTCCCCAGACAGACCTTACAGTCGGCCTTCAAGGCCAACCACTCGTATTTTGCTATTCTCTCTCCAGAGGCAGAGAAGGAGGCTGTGGCTTCCTCCAGCGGACCACCTAAGATTACCGATCTTACGCTTCTGAATGACGACGACCTCCTCGGAGACGATATGGACCAGCCGGACGCCACGCCCAGGGGAGAGTCCATCCACCTATCAGATGACAGTGCGCGCGATGCCGGTCCTTTTACTGTGCGCGTATCTAGCCCGATCAAATCTTCGGATGTGAGGGCTACTGCCGTCACCGCTACCCCGAAAGGGGATGAGTCGGCCCATCTCCTCCCTGCTGAGATTGATAGCTCGGCTGAGCATATAGCCAGCTCCGAGCCTCCTTCTGGCGGCGAGCACCCGAGTGCTCCAACCGCTGGTTCCTCTCTTTCACCCATACCCGAGCAGGTATGCGGGCTTAACCGTGCTCAGCATGACATCTCATGCGAGAGCTTCGCCTCTAGTGCCTTCGTTCACTACGACAGACAGGAGACTGCCCCGGAGATGGGGCAACCCGCTAGTGCTGCTATAGATCAGTCTGGCCAGCCTGACGACTCACAGGCCATGAGCATATACCGAGGCAGACAGCCCACGTGGACCAGAGCCACGCAGCGCACGACATGCTGGACGATCTCCCCTGCTATTGGATCCTTCCGCTGCATGCCTTCTTTAGGTGGCCCGACTCAGCCTCGCCATAGGCGGACTCCGTCCGGTGGCTCTTGCGACCATTGATATGCACACTGGACACATTTATTGTCCGAAATCAAGCTTTTAAACTTCCTGATCATCTTTCTCTACTGTGTACCCATCAGTAGCATTGATGGTAATGCCAAGCACTTTTGGCTCGACCTGCTATGACTCGAGACCTGACAATGCGGTACGTTGCATACGGTTTACCCACTACCCGGGGCCTTTCGGGTGTGGAACACCAGCATGCGGTGTACCTGCGGCGTCAATCTCGCCTGCAGTCACTAACACGGTCGCATCTTCATTCTACGCTAGTAACTTCGCTGTACTCAACTTGTTTCTATAATCCCAAAATTTCACACTTGAAAAGGACTTGGCATAAAGTTTCTCCCTCTCGTTCTAGAATTTCTAATGGACTTATAACTAGGATGTAACTTTCATTTCTTCCCGACACTTCACATTTGTCGAACTTTCAGGAATACTTTTTCTCCTACCTCAAACTGCATTTCTCGTCTATGCTTATCTGCTGAAGACTTTTGCCAACTCCGCGCAGTCTTAAGCTTTTCTCATTCTTGAGAAGGACTGATTATCAACTGATTAATCTCAAAATCTCCTACTATAAAGTCAATAGGCTAATCAAATGCATTGACTAAAGTCTGAATAACTAAATCGCATCCACTGCTCTAGTGCAACTTAATTTGTTGGTTTGATTTGTTCTGTCTGATTATATCATTGATATAACCCATAATCACCGTCTCTCTTACCACCAATTATGCAACTGCCACTAGCACAATCGGTAAACATCGCCATAATTCAGGTGTAATCATTATTGTCGACATCTCACATCTGCCTTTGGCTGCATTAAATACACTCTTAGTACTGCTTCTGACACTCAGTCTGCAACAACAGACAACTAACCTAGTAACAAAACACAACTAACCTAGCAGCATCAGACAACTAACCTAGCAGCAAGAAAGAACTAACCTAGCAACAAAAGACAAGCAACTACAGATAACTAACCAAGCAACATCAGAGAACTAACCTAGCAACTATAGAGAACTAACCTAGCAACTACAGAGAACTAACCTAACAACTACTAACCTAGCAACTAGAGAGAACTAACCTAGCAACTACAGAGGACAACCAAAAAATGCTCTCACCTCTCTCTAGCTTTCTCTCTCTAGGATTCCCCTCTTCCCTCTCTTCCATTCTCCTCCATACCTCTTCCCACTCAGCCACCACCCCAGATTAGCCGGCCCCATCGGCCGCCGGGTATCTTCTCCTTCTTTTCTTTTTGTTTGCTGTTTTCTCTCCTTTGCCGGCCCTCCGATCTACCAGTCATGGCTCCACCCCAGCTACCTCTCGTCGCTTCGCCACCCAACCACCAACCGCCGGCTAACCTCACGGCGGAGCTGCTCAAGTTTTTTTTCGCTACCAGAAGTCCACCAAGCTGCCTCGGATTTTTTGCAAAGATTCTCGCGACTGGAAGAAGGGGAGATCCCAGTGCCCATGGCCCCCGTTGCCGTTAATTCAGATCTTATCACCTACGGTAAGCAATGGCCGGTTTCATTTGGTTCCTTTCCGTCGGGTAGCTCATCGCCAGTCATCCCTCACGCCATTGGGGAAGACAGTGCTACAGTAAAACCTAACCCGCAGCTCGCTGTGTCCCCAATCCCGCCCAGCCATGTGGACAACCAAATCCCAGGCCCAACTTCTTTTGGGCCTAAATCAAACCCGCTCGTAACCCCAGCCCAATTTTTGCCCCTCGTCACAACTAAACCCAGCATCCCTCAGCCCACCTCTCACCTCTCAGCCTTTACCACACGCTCAACCCAACCTCCTCCATTTTTGGGCCTACCAGCTTTTGCCCCTCAGCCCACTCCACATTTAACCCATGATCTTCAACCCGCAGCCCAATCTGACCCACAGGCCACAACCATTACAACCCAAAACGTTAGCAAAATCCCCTCCCAGCAAACCGTCTCCTGCAACCTTCAGTCTGCTGACACTAGCCACCGGACAATCGCCGACAACCTGTGCCTCGCCGGCGCTTCGACCGCCGGAACATCTCAATCGGTCGGCCTTTCACCCGGGGAGGTCCCGGAAGTGATTTTTTCGGCCGGAATTCTCGGACCTCGACCATCTCCACCCCCTCCGGCCGTACAAATTGCTGGAATATCCACCTCTAATTCTGAAAAATCTGAACCGGCCGTACTATATGTCCGGGAAGACGGTGTGGTCGTTGCAAACCCAAGCAAGACGGCCGCGGCTTATCCTACCGGACCTTCCACGAACGGGATAACGCCATCGGGCCCTCCCAAGGCTAACCCCGCTGCAGCCGGGTCTCCTCCGGGCACCTCTACTGGCCCGCTCTCCTTCTGGGAGGCTTTTACCGGGAAGAGAGATGGCGGCACGGGCGCCCCGCGGCCGACACCCAAGGACATTACCTTTGACGGGGGATACGAGCATGCCTGCGGGACCATTATTCGCTCGGAGGGAAACAAGGTGAAGGCTCGATACACTGAAGCCGAATCTGTTGCTCTTGCAGGTAAGCTAGCTAACACTCTGGTCTTTAAGTTTTCATATGCTATCCCCGCTCCCCGAGATATATCTGCTGGGTTAGGAAAACTGGGCTTTAAGGGTAGAGTGTCGTCGAAGTGGTACAATTTCAACCACCTCCTAGTCTCGTTTCACCTTCCCGAGGATTATAACGAGGTCTGGCTTAAGACCTCCATTCATGTGTGTGGATGCCCAGCTAGGGTGTTCAAATATTATGCCGGGTTTAACCCAAAGACGGAGGCGCCGGTCGTCCCCGTGTGGTGCCGCCTTCCCGGCCTCCCACCCCATCTGTATGACCGTGCTGCCATCACTACACTAGCTAAGTGTATTGGGCAGCCAATTCGTATCGACGCCCCGACGGCCCTACAGACGAGGGCTAACGTGGCGAGATTTTGCGTCGAGATAGATCTGAGAGCTGAGCTTGTTCACGAGATTGAGATTGAACAGGGCTCGGAGTCCCTTGTTCAGCGGGTGATCTATGAGAAGATCCCCGCTTTCTGCACCTCGTGCAACCACGTGGGTCATGTTGCGGCCGATTGCTACATCAGTGGCAATAAGCCACGGCCCGCTTTCCCGCAGCGCCATCGTGCGACCCAGCAGGAAACCTCCAACAACCAGAGGGACCCGAAGGGAAAGGGCAAAAGCCCTTTCCGCGCGCCCGAGACCCCGAAGGGGTCTAAGGATAAGGGCAAGGCTGTGATTGTTGATACTGCCCAAACTGGGAAGGATGCTCATCCTAACCAGCCTAAGCAGTTGGCCTTAGTGGGTCCCAAGCCCAAGTCCACGGGCTTTCTCCCTAGACAGACCTTACAGACGGCCTTCAAGGCCAACCACTCCTATTTTGCTGTTCTCTCCCCTGAGGCAGAGGAGGATGTTGTTCCTTCCTCCAGCAGGCCACCTAAGATTTCCGATCTTACGCTTCTGGATGACGATGACCTCCTTGGAGACGACATGGACCAGCCGGACGCCACACCCAGGGGAGAGTCCATCCACCTATCCGATGATAGTGTGCGCGATGCCGGTCCTTTGACCGAGCGCGCATCTAGCCCGGTCTGATCCTCGGATTTGAGGGCTCATGCCGCCACCGTTACCCCTCCCCCGAAAGGGGATGAGTCGGCCCA